AGTTATACCAATGTTAAGCTACCAGATTAGTCCCCCGTCAACCGCCGGGACCTTCCTTTCCTGCGCAAGCTTTCTATCCTCCGCTATGGTCCCTTCCTCCTGTGACACCAACACCTCGTGGAAGTGACGCGTATGCAACACAATGGTGTTTCAACAGTAGAAGGGACACAATCATGATATGACGGTAGATTTTTCGCTTCCCTTCCTCATCCTCCCTTCCTCTCTCCACTGCCCTCCAGCTGCCACTGCAGCACCATGTGGAATGAACGGAAGTGTGCTAAGCAGGTGTTTATATAGCCCTAAGAGTGTTATCACAACTATCCTGCTACAAAACATTGATATCTCAAATCCTGTAAGCTACCCGATTTGTTAGCGGTTTGTTTATCCCATGAGCTTCCTTCTCACTCACTTCATTTTGCGGACGGACACACATACATACATACACACACACATACAGATACACAAACCGACACACAAAGTTAGCGCTTTATAAAATAGAAGGATTATAATTGGCAGGTTCATCTTCACTTTTAAGTTTCCACATGTCGTGTACCGAGTGTCTTGAAGCTTTAACTCGATATACTTCTAGAGTCTCGATTTAATAGTTCCATGAAAAGCTCCTCTCGTGTGTGAGTTCTCTCGGTTACTACGGAACCATTCTACTTTTGGTATGCAATAAGTACGCGTCGGTTGGGTGTACTCGCCATAGCACAGTTTCCTGTCAAAAATCTCTGGTCAAGAATCCATGCACCATTCAGGAGGGGCACTTCATAAACCACCAGATAGCTTGTTTCCGATCTCATATTCTTGCACAATTTTGGGATAGCTGCAAAACGAGAGTCGAGTCGGGGAAAATAAGGCAAACCGCCTAGCTCAAACTTTACCGTCCCCTGAGAGCCCCAAGGAAAAACCGACAATGATGTTCTTTCTACTCTTCCGCAACGTCTTCTGAACATAAAGCTATGAGGTTCCTTAACAAGTTACGTCATTCCTTGTGTACTAATCTGTTTTTCTACTAGTAATCGATGCGGTCAGCGTAAATTCTGTGGCGCAATAATGTTTCAGCAGCCAGGCGTATTAAAACAATGTAGCGGGAGTATTAAAAGACGACAGGTCATGAACTTAGTTTGACGGTAGTGTGCCCGATCAGCATTGCTTGTCGTGCTTCAGATTGTAGATTATTTCCTTCTTGAAAATTAATTACTTTTTAGCTTTTTGAAATTTTGTTGCCGTTTTCCAAATTCTTTCGAAAATTTTGCAAAAATAAGTGTTCGATGTGCTTTTGCAAATGCGAAAGTTAAAAAAAATGGGGAGCGTTTCGTACAAGTAAGCATTTCGTACGCGTATAAGACGGATAGACGTGTTATCGATGAATGATATGAGCGGAGGCTTTTCTATTTGGTTCGTCTAGAATGTTTTGAGTGGTGAGGGCTGCTGTTGCCAACATAGGTGAGGTCGTCGTGTTTGCGTTTTCTTTTGTGCTGATATTCTTATTCCCTGTGCAACCAATAAAGCGAGACCGTGTTCAACATTTGAGCCGTAGGCTAAAGAGCTTCAAGTTACTGATAAGAAATTGTTCCAAGAGCTTGCCTTAGTTTACTATTTCAGGTACACCCTTCGATTAAAGCTGGTGCAGAATAAAGAGACTGAAGACGAGGAAAAAGAGAAAATGCCCAGTGAGCAGGAATTGGAGGTGCGATTGTTGCCTTACCTTTTGTTTGTTTTAAAAAAAGTTCTTGTCGCAGCAATAGCCTTATTTATGAGTGTTCTTAACTGTGAGGCACCTCGCGCCACGTTTTCGTTGTAAAGAAGGAGTAGAAAAGGGGAAAAGTAGCGTCAGGCGCCCATTCTGTAAAGTGGGGAGGCGTTGAAGTGAGTGAGTCACCTACAGAACTTGGAGCTAGTAGGAGAAGGGGTTTTGGGGAAGGACATGAGCAACTTTGTTCTCTCTGGCATCTCCTAGGTTTAGTACTAGTGTCAACTGCCAGTGGTTTTTAAATGCCATGTTATGAATGCCCGCTTCCCCCTAAGGCCAAGAGCGCCGTGTTCTTCATAGCTTTACTCACAATTTTAACTCAGGTTCATATGTAGTGGTCTAGAATTATTTTAATTTTTTATAATCCTAAAAGACTAGTTTTCTTATTCAGAACGTTACCGAATACAACACCGCTTTGAATCG